GGTACCATCCTCCTGAAAAGGGCACAGCTGCCTGTTAGAAAAACCCCAAATTCCCAGATGTGCTCCTGCACTGCATGGATTATAGAGGTTTACCTGGCTTGGAAGCCACCTGCCAGCTTGCTCTGAAAGGATCTTGGCCATAATTGGGGATTGCTGGCTGGAAGTGAGGCAGCAGCAGAGACTCTGCTCCTGCCAGGATGAGGAGCAACCACTGAATCATAGGATAGTTCGAGTTGGAAGAGACCTTCTAAAGGTCACCAAGTGACCTTGAAGATGCCTGAGTTCAAATTATTCCCTTTGGGAACAGCTGTGGGAGGGTCTCTGTGAGCCAGGAATATCAGCTGTACCACCCCACATCCCCTTCAGGGCTCAGACACAAGCAGAACCAAACTCCTGGGTCTCTGGGACTGGACAAGACCATTGTCCACAGAGATGCAGCTCCAGCAGCTCCCAGTTGTTTGCTCACCCTCTTTAACCAGGAGCAATAAACCCCACAGTGGCCAGTTGGTGTCTAAACAACAACTCAACTCTGGGACCATCACATCCCAAAGGCATTCCAGGGGCATGGTTTCTGCTCACCTGGATAGACACCTCCATCCTTTGGGGGAATGAGCCAACTGGGAGGGCTGGCAAGAAAACCTTTCCTTTGCCACTGGTTAGAAACTGAATTCTTGACCATTGTTCTGTATTGGCAGGTCTTGCTCTGCACCCCTAATTATTGCTGGGGGATTGCACCTAAAATACTCAGTCCAGCTCGGGTTTGCTAATCCAAAAGGAATGTGGAGGAGCTGGAGAGGATCTGGTGAAAGGATGTAGTGATGGCTGGAGCAAAAGTCTGTGACCTACCAGGAGAGGTCAGGGAGATGGGTTTGTTTTGGTCTGGAGAAGAAGCTGGGGGAAAATCTGATGGGAGCAGAAAGTGTACATGGAGAACTCACTGGCTGGAAAACTGCTTGGCAGAAAAGGATCTGGGGGTGCTGATCAACAGCAGCTGAACACGAGCCCAGGTGGCCAAGGAGGCCAAGGGCCCCTGGCTTGGATCACCACTAGTTCTGGCCACAGGACCAGGGCAGGGATTGTCCCCCGTGCTGGGCACTGCTGAGGCCACACCTCAAATCCTGGGGGGCAGTTTTGGGTCCCTCACAACAAGAAAGACATGGAGGGGCTGGAGCGTGTGCAGGGAAGGGAACGGAGCTGGGAAGGGGCTGGAGCAGCAGGAGCAGCTGAGGGAGCTGGGGGGGCTCAGCCTGGAGAAAAGGAGGCTCAGGGGGGACCTTCTGGCTCTGCAACCCCCTGACAGGAGGGGGGAGCCGGGGGGGGGTGTTGGGCTCTGCTCCCAGTAATTAGCAACAGCATGAGATGAAATGGCCTCACATTGTGCCAGGGGAGGTTTAGGTTGGACATTAGAAAAAATGTCTTGCTCAAAAGGGTGGTCAGGCATTGGAACAGGCTACCAGGGAAGTGTTGGAATAACCATCCCCAGAAGGGTTCCAGAGGTGTGTGGACGTGGCACTTGGGGACGTGGGTTAGGGGTGAGCACAGTGCTGAGGTAACAGGTGGACTCGATGATCCCAGACATCTTTTCCAACCCTAACAATTCCATGATTCTGTGATTGCAGCTTGGGAGGCTCAGGCTGGGCACTGGATAAAAACATGGCTGGGAGGACAGGGAAGCTCTGGAGAGTGTCACACAGATTGAGATCTCTCCATCCCCAGAGACTGTCACGTCTTGGCTGGGCAAAGCCACAGCTGACGGGAACCAGTGTTGGTGTCAGCCCTGCCTTGAGCCAAAGGCTGGACTAGATGTCCCTTCCAACAGCCATCTCTCTGATTTAATGTCCCTTCCAACCACATCTCTGTGATTTCACAAACCTGTGATTTAATGTCCCTTCCAAGCAGCACCTCTGTGACTTTACAAGCCTGTGACACCCTGTGATTTAGAGCTCTGGATGCTGCTCAGCTACTTCACAACGGTCTTAAATTAACACAGTATTAAAATAAATCCCACCAACAACCCTAAATCAAATTGATCTCCCTGCAGGTTCTCTCGCTCCAAATGGAACATTAACGTAATTTAGGAAGAGCAGGAAGGATTCACAGAGTACTTTGAGGGCATTTTTATCATTTCACACCCACATTGTCTGTCCTGTGGCTGTGAAATGTAGACCTTGCCACATGTTCCACAACCAGCCTTGTGGTGGGGAGGGAATGCACCTTGTGTTGGGATGGTGCTGACCTGCAGCACATCAGATTTACAGCTGCCATCTGAGGGGATTGCTTGTCCTTTGAAGATCTTGTTCCCATTTGGAAGGTGACCTCAGAGCCTCAGAAGGAAATGAAGCAGCATAATTACACTTAGGTTTTTATTTAAAGACGTCTCAACTATTCAAAAAATCCAAAAAAACCCTTCCCCCCACCACATATCAGGAATCTGACTTAATGAACTTCCAAGTTACATGTTTCTAACACATCTGTGGGAGAGTTACAATAACCTGACACCACCAGTGCCTTCCCCAAGCAGGAATCAAATTTTGTTGTGGGTAGGACAAATGTGTTGTTGTTCCTGTGTCTGAAGGTAATTATTTTTTTCTGATGATTGAGACACATCAGCCCCTAAAAAAGACCCAAAAATGCCTTTTACTGGAGACTTCCATGACTATGTCTCCCCATCCCTGGAAGTGTCCAAGGCAAGGTTGGACAGGGCTTGGCACAACCTGGGCTAGTGGAAGGTGTCCCTGTCTATGACAGGGAGGGTTGGAGCTGAATGATCATTAAGATCCCTTCCAATCGAAACCATTCTGGGATTCCATGATTCCATTTGGGTGTGGGATGGTACGACACACAGCTGGGAGCACTGGCCTCTCCTGGAGGCTCTCAGCCCTGCCTTCATCCCTACCCTCGGGAGATTCTACCCTCTGGATGACTTCCAGCCACTTCTAGGCATTAATTGTGGCAACAAAGCCACAAACCTTCTGGACTGGAGGTGGCCTGCGTGGTGGGGACGGTGTTGCCAAGGCTCCGTTTTATGGGAGTCTTGCCTTTTTGTGGAATCACAGAACGGTTTGGGTTGGAAGGGCTCTTAAAAATCATCTCATTCCAACCCCCTGCCATGGGAAGGGACACCTTTCAATGGACCAGGTTGCTCCAAGCTGTGTTGAACACCTCCAGGGGTGGGGAATCCACAACCTCCCTGGGCAATCAGTCCCTCCTGGCCAAGACTGTGCTCAGTGTGGATAAACAGAGTGGATTCCAGTGGGAGTCCTCACACCAGAGGTTTATTGACCCTCACCCCAGAGGTTTATTGAC